GTGTCAGGCAGGGACAAGACCAGCTGTGTCCCAGCCTAATCCATGTCAGTGAAAGGCACCATTGATGGCTCCTCTGAAAAGGAAAAGTCCTCATAAATCTTGCCATTCTAAGAGATTTGGGAAGAAGGGGCATGCACTGTTGGGACAGGTCTGGAAAATCAGCATGAGAACATCTGACTGTTCTGATTTGAGAACCTGATTTCTTTTTTTGGAAAGAAAGATCTCAGAATGCAAAGTTTTGGCAAGCTTCTTTATACACAATATCCTATTCCTCACAAGTTCATCCTGACCCACGTGCCAGGAAATCTGTTGTGCATGATGCCCCTCTTTAAAGGCCCTTGCTTGCCAAGCAGAATTCCTCCATCCTCTGGTGCTTATCGCACCTAGCTTCCTGCTCCCACCTATTTCCAAGTGGTTTGTGGGTGGAGCCAGTTGGTGGAGTTGGTCTTCATTTCTCCCCTCCTTGAAATCTCCTCCCTATTACATTGAAACTCTGGCAAATTTTCACCCTTTTGTACATCTTCCCAACAAGAAGCAATGAAAATCCTTTCTTTTTCTATGTTGCCTAGGCTGGATGGAGACGGTTGGCCGGTCTTCTTTTGGGCCCTCTAGGCCAGTGTTTTTCAACCTTGGCCACTTTAAGATGTATGGACTTCAAGTTCCAGAATTCCCCAGCCAGCCTGGGGAATCAATAGAAGAGAATCTCTGTAGCTCAGGGTTGAACTGTGGCGTCCTTGGTATTCTCTGAGCTTGGTTGTTTTCTTACAGACATTTGGTTACCCGACTAGGGAACTAGGTAGCATCTTCAGAGACAGGAATGACAGATTTTGAAGTCCACAAGAGAACATAGCTCAGGGGTGTCCAATCTGCCTTGCTTTCAGAAGACTTCTCCTGGATTAAATTCTGACCAGGACTTCTAGCTAAATGGTTCAGGCAGTAGGTGAAGAAAAGATTTAATACTGGAGATCCTGTACAGCTGCTACTTTACCAAGGAAACATTTCTGGTCCAGAAGATGGAATAGATTAACATGCTCAGAGAATTATGCTCAAATGCTTTATTAATCGCCCTCTACTGGCCATACATAGTTACAGTTTTCTAAGATTAACCGAGTTGGTCTCAAAAGTTTAACAAAAATTGGGATTGGGAGTGGTTAAAAACATAGAGGGTTCCCCTCCCCCACTTTTTTTGCGGGGTGGGAAACAGACTGAGGTTTCCAGAGGAGACCACATCCTATTGTTCCAGTGCTGGAATAACTCCTCTTAGTTGTATAGAACTGGACCATGTCTTTTTAAGTAAAGATGCATCTCACCAGTTGGATTGTCCAGTCAACCTTTGTTCAGCCAGAGTGATGATCTGCAGATGGTTTACGGCAGAGGCCCAAGAGATAGGGAGGCATGCTTGCAGGTGCTGTTGAGTTACAGCGGTGCGCGAAAGGCAAGCTGCTTGTGTGATGCTGTGTTGTTTCCAGAACCAATAGCTGCAGAGCACCCTGTTTTCATAGATTTAAATTCCCATGCAAATGGGTTTAATTATTACAACCATAAAGCAAAACAACTCAGAGCTCAGCACTTGCTGGCTGGGGGATTCTGGGAGTTGACGTCCACACCTCTTAAAGTTGCCAAGTTTGAAAAACACTGGTCTAGAACATAAACATTATTGGATCCAAATTATTAGACCTGGAATCATTAGTCAGGAACCTTCACATTCATACTTACGAGTTAGATTCAGCCAGTCATTTCCCATCTCCCGTTTCCAGCAAGGGAATTCTGACTTACGCCTTTCAATTATCTCAAACAGTCTAGCACTCTGGGATTTCCTGGGGTATCAAAGGATCCTATCATTAATGATACGTGTCCAGAAAAGATTTGCAAGCCAGCTTGATCCATCATCAGGCCAAGTTAGACAAGTGCACAGGGCCTGGATAGGGAGCGAAGAGGTAGACATTCCCAAGACAGCAGGGCCTCTGGGCTTGCAACCCAAAGATGCTCAGATGTCTCATTGCAAAACCCATATTCAAGGGGAGTACAAACCTATCTGAAACCACATGGAATTCTAATAAAAAGAGGAGAGCATCCAGGATCAATCTGGGTTTTTCTCTTCCAGAACTGCCCTTGTCGCCCACCAGCCGAGCCAGCAAGGAGAAGAAAAAAGGACCTCAGCTGGTCTACGGGGCGGTCTGGTCAGGTAATTGCACCCATCAACTTTCTTCCACGTCGAAGTTGTGCAGTTTTGTAAGTTGCGGTCGGAAGAGAGTCGCTTCGCCTCTTGAGCAGCCTCCCTTTGTGTTCCCGTAGGCAACTTCCAGACGGCAGACCTCACCTTCAAGTACGCTGATTATGGCAAGGAAATCCGGGAGGACTGGAACAAAGAAGACTCCAGGTTTTCAGGTGCAGTCTTTTATTAGCTTACCTGAGGTTATAATGTTCATATTCAGATCTTCCATACAGCTGCTCGTGGGGTTCTCCTGGCAGAAATGTATTTGGAGGAAGACGTTTGAAGGAGAGAACGGTTCTTCCAGGACCACTCTTTTGCACGCTCCATAAATGCTCCAGCAGAAAAAAGCAAATGGTTTTGCAAAGAACTGAGCGCTGTTTTAACTGAGGGGTGGACATCCAGAAGGTGACAAGTGGCTTGCGGGGCCAAGGAAACCCTGGCCCGTTTGCCCACCAACTCCCTGGGAGCAGAGAAAAAAGTCGACGCATTAGTGGTGCAGAATCAGCACCTTGGCCAGAAAAGTGCCTTATTTCTACCACAGACGTCCGTTGGGTTTCATTGCTTCCCTTTCCTCCAGTGATTTATTCAAGAACAGGAGGGTGGGGGGTGGGGGGGATAGCATGCGTGGTGCACCTAATAGTGAGAACAGTGTGCAGGGAACATGGCTGGTCGCTGATCTGTCGGTCCCTGAGACTGCTGCGACTCAGATGGGTTTCCTCCTTTCTACAGTTTCAAGGAGGGCTCTGAGCAGCTAGCGATAATGAGGGAGGGAACTGAAAGAAAAAAAGAAAGAACTCAACTCCCAAAGGAACAACTGCTTCCTGTAGGGAGGGGACCCACCATAATATCGGTCCCCAAAAGTCTGGGCTGCCCAGACAGGTTTTAAGAGCAACCCCACTAAGAAGGCTCCTTCAAGCTGAACTCGTCTTCTGCAGGTGGCACAGAGGTGCCACATGGGATACTTGGTAGCAATAGGGAGCTAGCCTGCTGCTGATTTTTCTGGGCTTTTCTTTCAACTTCCCTGTCTGATTTCCTGGTGGTCTCCCATCCAGGTTCTAACCAGGCCCCACCTGTTTAACTTTCCAAAATCAGCCAGTATCATCGGGAGATGTTGCTGCTTGAGCTAGGCAGGTGATGTTTCCTTCATGGACACATCCCTTCATGTCCTGGTCCGGGCGATGATGGTGGTTTGCTCCAGCCTCTTTTGGGAACGCTTTGTCAACTTCCTAGTTTAGCCTCCAATCCTGGAGGTCTCTTATCCCAGTTCTAACCGGGCCTCAGCCTGCTTAGCTTTTTTTGAGATCAGGGAGAGGTTATCCCAAGGCCTCATCTCCTCCCAAAGCAGGGGTGGGCAGTGCAGCCCTCTGGCCACATCCAGACCAAGGAAGCCTTCCCGCTAGCCTCCATCAGAGCTGAGGTTAATGGCTCATACAGGCACATGATCTCCTAGCCCGGAGCTGTGCCCATCACACGGCCAGGCTCAGCTGAGGCTCTCTGGAGAGGCTCCAGCCCATTCAGCCCCAGGAGCTGGATGTCTTGGAGGAGGGCAGTCTGGCCACAGGCAGGGACCACCCCCCAGGCTCCACCCCATCTGTGACCAAAAATCACCCCTCCTTGTGCGGGTTCTTTGCTTTCCACGGACTGGACACCCCACAGCGTAGCAAAGCTGTACATGGTGCTTTATTGCAGCACACACCTTCCCCAACCACAGGCTATCGCTCTACACCCTTCCAGGACTTGCAAGGCGATGCTGCTATAAATATGTCTTTAACGCTCAGTCCTTTAATGCTGAGTCCAGGCAAAAGTCCCAAAGTCTGTAGAGTGGCAGACCACCTTCGCCTCCTTCCAAACGTTCTTACTCTGGCTGGGTTGAGGGGCTGCTTCAGTGTGCTTGTTCTTCTTCTAGCTGCTCCTGAGCTCCGGGCAAAGCTCCAGGCAAGACCCACCGGGACAGGCTGCTCACCGTAGCTTGTGGTCCTGGCAGTTGAGCGATCGCCCTCTTGCCTGCTTGTGACAGCTGCCGATCTCCAGACGTCACCTCCGCTTCCCCATCTGTCTGCAGGCCGTTTGCTTGTCTCCTTTCCTCTTACGCACGCACACTCGACACACACCTCCTCATCCACTCTGTCTTGGCATCTGCTGGGTGGGGGGAGGCGGCCTCCGGACCTCGGCCTGGTCCTTTGAAGATGCCAGGGTGGGGCTCATGGTCACAGACAGCTGGAACACCAGTTTGGATGCTTGTGAGTAAAGCTGTGCATGAATGTGCGAATGAATGCATGAGAGAAGTGGGGTGAGAAGCATTTCTGCCTGGCTGCAGCATCTTTTCCCAAGCGCAGACAGCAACCCCCACTTTGCTCCCTCACACACCTCTTTGCCTCTTTCTCTCTCTTGTTCCAGCCTCAGCACACTAGCTGTAGGTCAAATCACAGAATCACAAGGTTGGAAGGGACCTTGGAAGTCTTCTAGAGCAATGTTCCTCAACCTTGGCCACTTTAAGATGGGCAGACTTCAACTCCCAGAATTCCCCAGCCAGACATGAAGTCCACCCATCTTAAAGTGGCCGAGGTTGAGGAACCCTGCTCTACGGCCAGCCCATTCCACAGGAACGGTTGATTTCTCTTCCTAGATCTCCGCATGAGCATGATAGAAATCCTGGCTCGGGGCCCCCCTGCTTGCACCAGCACCTTTGACAAGGATTCCCTCAGCCTGTCCCAGTTTGTGCAGCTCATGGAGACCTTTGCCAGCGAAAGAACATCCCTGCCAAAGCTGAGGAAGCTCACGGAGTCTGTGAAGAAAGGATACATGCAGACGGAGGCTGAAAAGTTCAGCCAGCTGGAGAAAGTAAATACAGCATCTTTTTTCCAAAATCTTTCCCTGGGTTCTTTTTCATTGAGCCTGAATGTGCATCACGCCAGGTCAACCTGAGCGATGCACATGTACAGTGAGCCCTACACTAGGGCTCCTCAACCTCAGCAACTTTAAGATGGGTGGACTTCAACTCCCAGAATTCCCCAGCCAGCAGAACTGGACACCTCGATCACATGCAGCCGGTACCACCATTCCCTTGCAGAACTAGCTGGGGACAAAATTTCCTTGATATCAGTTATGTTCTCCTGCTTCGTCCCACGCCACTCTTCCGTGCCTTTTGTCTATCATCTGAGTCGTTTTCGGACCCATATTTAGCCCTCTTGCTGGCCTCCTTACTGTGGCAGAATGGGGACTGGCAATGGGGGGAAGCAGATGATTTGCTGGTTCGAGGACTGGTGGAGAACACTTTACCTTGATTGCGAGGAACAGCGCTGAACCATTACCCCAGGGACCCTCAAATATTGCCTTTCCTCCCCCCAGATTCATCACTCTTCAAACTTGGTCCGGCAGCAGCTTCTCTTAGCAGCCCTTTTTGAGAAGTGGGATAACGAAAGCTCTGGGTTCATAGATATGATGGAGGTCGACTCTGTTCTGAGCACCTTTAAGGAAGGGATGGAAGAAGAAGCCTTGACTAAGGGTAAGAGGAATGCAAAGACCTTTCAGAAAAGTAGCTGTCTTAATCAACCCCACAAGGAGTTGTATGCACCTGGAAGACCACATGAGTTCACTTTAAGATCTGTCTGGGAGATGAAGAACTTTGCTTCTGGAGCCAGGAGATAAAAACAAACTCCTCCTGGGTCTTTTCCCCACTTGCACCTAACCATGGCACAGACATGCTCTGGCAACCTCTCCTGACCCCCTCGTCCCCATACCATTGCCTTCATCTTATCCCCAGCTCATGAGTGAAACAGACTTAAGTCACCTTCAGCCTACCAGTGTGGAAGTGGTGTTTTCCCCTTTATTCCACCACCATCCAATGACAACCTCAAAGTGTGTAAAATCAGTGAGGCTTTGTCACCTATTTCCTTGGAGGGAATTCAGGGGACTGGCAGTCACTGGGAACAGAGACACGAATGGCAGGAGAAAGATTGCCCATGTCTCTATTGCTGTCTGCCGACTCAAGGATGATATAATTGCTGATATAACTCAGCAGTGGGGAAAGGTCCCTTGGCTGGGTTCAGATATTACAGTAAGCCCTAATGTGGTTTGTTTTGAGCTTATTGTGTTATGTGAATCCAGCCAAAGTGAGGTTTATCCTAGAAACCATGATTAAACAAACTATGGCTTATATCCATTCCCTACTTCCACCTAACTATGATACAAAGGAACCTTTTTTTTTTTCTGCCATTACCTCATGATGTTCATTTCCTCCCCAATCTTACCTGAGGCAACATATAGCCATCTTGAACAGTTCCAGTGTTTTTACCTTTAAACGAGTTATTGCAGTTTTGCCGTAGGTGAAACTGTTGTGCTGCAGCCATTCTCTGTTGCAGAGGGATGATGCCAGGAATGGGATCAGCCCAAACCTGTTGGGTGCTTTCCTCTGATGTGGACGCATCCCTCCCCTCCTGGTGCCAGTCACTCTCTTCCTGGCCTCTTACCCTGTCCGCGCCAGGGGTCTGAGGCAATCTCAGGAGCCCTGGAACAGCTGGAAGAGCAGCTGGTCAGTGGTGGGGGCAGGAGGGAGGTCTGTACAGGGACCAGAAGAGGTCGAATTGGCTCCCTCCCGACTGCTTCATGGCACAACCACTCACTGCCCTTCTCAGCTGTTGTTTGAGCTGCATTTGAATACTGGTTTACCGCTCTTTCAGAAGAACACCAAATCTGTATTTAAAAATACAGGGAGTCCCCAGTTTAAGAACGAGTTCTATTCCCAAGGTCTGTCCTTAAGTCGAATTTGTACGTAAGCCAGAATGGTATTATTGTACAATACTGTATGTACAATACAGTACTGTGTAATGAACTCAAACCAGTGTGTATTTAACTCGAATTTTGTGACAATAGGCTCCGTTCTTAGCTATGGGTCATCCTTAAACTGGGCGTCCCAGGGTCTACCTGTAGCTCATAAAAGAGCTGACAGTCATGCGTGGTGAAGGTGCACCCTCTGGTCTCTGATCCTGATTTTTTCAGTGGTTGTGAAGAAAAAGGTATGTTTTCAGTTGCATCATCTGAAGGAATCAGGAGTGGAGACCCGAGGGTGCATCTTCCTGGGTCCACAATTGAAAAGCACATGCCCTGAGCTGACCCTGCCTTCCTTTCCTCTCCCCACATAGCTAAGCTGCAGCTTTCCTTCCCCAACTGGCACCCCAGCGGGGTTGTGAAGTTATCGCTGAAAGACTTCCAAGCCTACATTGAGCTAGTGGTGTCTGAACTCACTGGAAATGAAGACGAAATTTTGGACAACATTGTGGAGTTCCTGATGATGACAGTGGAACGCACGCACCTGGAGCGGCTGCGAGGGAACGCACGGCGGAAATGGCTGCTCCGGATTGAGCACTCTGCCAAGACCAGTGGAGGGTGCATGGAGCCCGTGTATCAAGAGGTCTTCAAGGCTCTTTGCCGGGTGAGTAGATCTGTAAACAGGACTCATCATGGAGGATCAGAGCTGGAATGGCACAGTGAAGAAGAACCAAGTTTATACAGGGCACGAATGGTTCCCTGAGAGGAAAATCAAGGAAGGTTGGGCCTTTGAATTAGACCAAAGACTGGAGAGGGGAGGAAGGACTGGGCAGGGAGATGCAAGGTCCATGGCCTTGAGGGCCCAGGTTCAAGACCAGCTTCATCATGAAAGCTCCTGGATGACTTTGGGCCAGTTATTCTTTATTTCACAGAGTTGTTGTAGAGAAAATCTGAAGAAGAAAGGATCTATAAATCTAGATCAGTGTTTTTGAAACTTGGCCATTTTAAGAGGGGTGGACTTCAACTCCCAGAATCCCCCAGCCAGCATGCTGGCAGGAGAATTCTGGGAGTTGAAGTCCACCCCTCTTAAAATGGCCAAGTTTCAAAATCACTGATCTAGATGAATCTAAGAGATGAATAGGCAGGAAGGTGAAATTCCTAAGAAAGCCCAGGTGCTGGACTGGCACCAGGAACCATGGCAGGTTCACGTCCCGCCGTTAGCCATGAAAGCTCATGGACAACTTTGGCCAGTTATTCTCTTCCAACCAACTTACCTCACAGGGATGTTGTTGTGAGGAAAACCTGGAGAAGAGAATGCTACATACATCGCCTTGAGCTCCTAGAGAAAGGTGGGGTATAAAAAAACCAATAAATAAAATTGCAGGAGCAGAGGAGTTCTTAGGAGAATAGGTGAATGAATAGGTAAACTGGCCATCTGTTACTGGGTTTGTCCCATCTGATGCTTGAGACATCAGAGGATGCAATTTTGCTTGTGGGGTAAGTTGGATACGTCTGGATCTGACCCAAAGCAGACTCTGGGGAGAATTATCCAGGACAGAACCAAATTTGTGGCTAGGTCTGAGGACTCCCTGCACTCCAGAGCAGCATTGGTCCAACAACTGAACCACTGCCATACTAAGTAAAGGTGCCATTCTGCCATACCGAGAAGCAGGTGGGTGAGTTACAAGGGGAACAGAGAGAGGGAGCAAAACAGGTTTATGGAAAGCACAGCCTGGGCGCAAGAGGTTGACCAATTTGGCCTGGAGGAGAAAGGGAACATGGTGGCAAACAGAAGGCAGCAGAGGCTTGTGCTCTCCTGTTTTCTCCTGGAAGGAGAAGGTTAGTTGGCTTGGACAGAGGAGAGGTAGCAGCTGGACATGGGGCGTTCACCAGGGACAGCGCCCTGCCTGGGTGCGATTAAAAGCAAGTAAAGGCAGCAGGGTTCAGCCTTAGAACCAACCACCTGGAAGACTGGAGGTCTCTAGGCAAAGGCTGGGCAGGGCTTAATTTATTTAATACATTTATATGGCCACCCATCTCATATATATGATCCTGGATGGCAAACAATTAAAACAAAATAAAAACAGAGGAAAAACACAACCAATAATTAAAAATATAAATAACATAGCACAGCATAAAAGAGCAGCCAAATTTCCTGGGAATGCTATGAGTTGCTGCTTAAACTAGGAAGGATTAGCATCTAGGGGCATCCACTGGGTGAGGGTGTCAAATAAGTCAAGATGGCTCCCGTGACCATGCTTTTTTAGATACAGAAAAGGCTTTATTGCATGGCCATGGTTTTAAAAAAAGGGGGGGGAGAACTTTGATTGCATGCCCTTGTCTGCCATTTTGACCTTCTCTGCAGGCATTCCCACTGGTCCTGATGATGCAGAAGGCCTCTGCTCTTTCTAGATGGGACAGGTTGCTGCCCCCCCCCCCCCCCCCCCCCCCCCCCCCCCACC